CTGGGCAGGCGCTGGACACCCTGAACATCGACACAGAATGCAGCAGACATTCTGGCTCACCAGGTATTTAATAAACCGTGAGTTTCAACTGACGTCATGGCGCATGCTCCAAGGTAAATATTACTTGATGGCTTTGTTTTGCTTTCATAGAACTGAGAAAGTGAGGCGCGATCTGGATGAACAGGGAAGAGACCTTCTCCTATGGAAAGTGCACACCATCAAAATCACCCCACGGATCTCCATACGTGCCCTCGTCACAATGACGTCTGTTCCCACGAAAGCCATTCCCCTGTTGACATCCTGCCTCTTCGAGGAATAAAAACCGTAAGACATGGAACTATACCAAAACATGAATCGTTAAACTCTGGTTTATCCATCTGGGGCCCACAGGACCTTTTGTTGATTTCTCTCAGAGCACCTCACTGAGATAAAAAACTGCCAGGACATGCGTGCCGACCCCATAAAGGATGGTCTAGGAAACAGTGTCAAGACCTACAAAACAGGCCTGAGCCTTGTCCTGGATTTGTAGTCTCCAGACACAAGTTTGACTATGGCAGCTGAGGACCGCGTGACCAGGCTTGGGCATTAAATGGGCAGCACTGAATGAACCAGCCTAGCAAAGCTCTAGCCTTGTTTCACAGCAAGCCTGACCACAGTGTGAACAGTGTTTCTAGAGCATTCCAAGCTCGAACTTGGGATGTACTCTGGGAAGGGGGCCTCTTTGGCCGGCCTGGCCACGTGCCCCTCTCCTCGACACCAGCCCCCGTGTGGACACTAGCCGTCAGCACAGGGCTCAGTGGAGAGGGATCCGAGGGCTCCCCGGTAGGTGGACAGAGGACAGAGTGCCATGAGGACCGTGACTCTGGGGAGGAGGCGGTGCCTGGGAACCACAGAAGCTATAGGAAATGGGAGGACAGGGGACAACAGGGAGCACCGGGCACGGGCACAGGGAAGGTGTGGCTGTCTGCATGGGCTTTTCCCTCTGGTCACTGTCGCTTAAGCACTGCCTGGCACGTGAGTCCTAAAACCAAGCAAGAGGAGTGGGCACGAGGGAAGCTGGCTGAGGGCTTATTAAACACTCTTCCCGCTCATTGCACGGGGCCAGGCTGCCAGGCCAAGCAGGGTCCTCAGATCTGACCGCATCTTACAAGTACCTTTGGGCTCTGGACTAGTTCAGACAAAAACTCAGACCTGGGATTTCATCCATACCAAACCACATATTAAATAAATACCCTTCAGGCCACTTTCTCAACTCTGCCTACCATTCCAGCCCAGTGATTCCAGGCTGTGCCCCAAGTTCACTGCTCCCTCTCATGCCCACCGCTGTCTCAGAGGGGTTGAGGAGACAAGGACTTCTCTATGGGGGGGGGGTGGGGGGAAGACTTGGTTCTCAAATGACCCCAACACATCCTAGCTTCCCGATGGGGTATAAGCCATTTCATGATAAGGACATAGCACTGACTGACGGTGTTATTTTGGAGTATGCGTATGACCGCTGTGGCAGTAGGGGTGTGGATGGCTCGCAGTTCAGGGAAAACGTAATGACTTAAAGTCCCATTATTGGGAAATCACATGCCCAAAGTTCTGGGCTGCACCACCATACCGCACATGTCTGCTGGTGACGGTGGAAGTGAAGACAGTGTTAACAATAATACGGACTTACCTGAAAGTGTGACTTCTTCACAGGTCCCTGGACTGGAGTTCTCAGAAAGGTCCAGTGAGATCTTAATTTCCGTTTCTAGATAACCAACATTACTAAACCTTAAAGCGGCCGTAGGGCACTATTGAGCCGTTTTCAATCTTGTGTTAAAATCAAAATTCTGTGTGACTGCACGGCATTTGCCCAGAACAACAAAACACAGGTTGCATTTCACTGATCAAAACTAGTCGGTGGCCGCCACGGGCTGAGGACTCCAGTGAGTCAAGGGGGTACACGGTGCCGAGTTCCTAGCGTGAAGGTTGCTTCAGTCAACTGGCCCAGACCTTCCATGGAGAGAGTGCACGCCTTTGGACAAGCAGTGCAGGCTCCCGGCAGCCCTCATGTCTCCCCCCTTGTCTCTCTCCCTCAGCCGTCAATATCCTGAAATGTCCAATGTGTTTAAGACTCCTTTTGGGATACAAAGCGAATCAAATCGATACTGCATTTTGCTGCCAACAAGCCCACAGACTGTAAGGTTGCTTCCCACAGACACAGCCTAGATTCTTCTCAGAGCTAACGTCACCAGGCACGTCAGGCCCTCTGCAGACACTATTTTAGGGTGTGTCCCCCCGCCCGTATGTGTTTTTATTTTATTTTTTTTAAAGGAAGCATCCAGAAGTGAAACAGTTAAGTCACAGATTTAGAAAAAGGACAGTCTTGAAAGTTTGCCCATTATTCAAACTTGAACCAAGATTCCCCGGGGCTCTCAGGCCCCCACACATCAGAAACGCAAGCATCGGCACATAGAACCTTCCAGGGAACAACACTAAGTAGCTTAAGCTGCCACATCAGCTGTGACTGATTTAAAATATTTGGGCCTCTGTTATCACACCAACACAATTTCGTGTAAATGCCTTGAAGAAAAATTTCCTTTCAATGGATTTGCTAAAGCAAAAGCTTAACTTGAATTGCCAAGCAATGAGCTTTTTATTTTATTAGGAAGATACTAAAAAAGATATTTTAAATCTTCTGGTTATGGATTTTTTTTTTTTTTTTTTAAAGGCGATTAGTCCTGAGCCATGTAGGCTCTTATAGCCAGGACTCCAGGACCTTTTCTTTTTGGGGCACCTCTGGGTTGCTACTGCACTGACCTCTCTGGACCTTGGGGCCTGACACTCATGGGGCTGGTTGTGCACACAAAACATACCTATAGTGGACACTGGCTCCCTCTTCATTCCAGTGACACCCTCATGTGAGGCGGCCAAGGATGATGTGACAATAAAACCTCAAGGTTTCCTCTCCCGGGGCCCAGGAAGCAACTCAAAGGCCAGAATCCTGAGTGCAATCCAGAACATTCTGAGCCTCACCATCCACATTAGAGTGAACCATCCCAGAGGGAGGACTGCACTGGGGAGGACAGCCTCGATGGGCACCCGCGTTCTGGCATGCCGGCTGGAAAACAGGCTGCACAGAAATCAGGATGGCCATGGCCTCGGGAAAGGAGACGTGGGTGGAGAGGATGGACCGCTCAGGGGACAACATTCTGGAAGGATGGAATTCTCCATGTCTTGACCAGGGTGCATAGTATATACATCTGTCAAACTCATCTAAGTATGTCCTTATGATTGTGCATTTTGTTGTATACAACTTATATCTCAGCTTATTTTAAAAAATGTTTATTTATTTATTTTGAGAGACAGCGTGGATGTCTGCATGAGTGGGGGAAGGGCAGAGAGAGAATCCCAATCAGGCTCCGTGCTGTCAGCACAGAGCCCTATGTAGGGATCGATCCCATGACTGTGAGATCATGACCTGAGCTGAAATCAAGAGTCGGACGCTGAACTGGCTGAGCCACCCAGGTGCCCCTTATTTATTTATTTTTTTTTACTTAGAAATCAAGTCCTAGAACTTTATGCTTCAGAGAGCTCAGTGAGATTACGGTGAGTGATACGAAGCTTACATATCCAGCTGCTTTCTGCTCCAGAGTGCATAAAGCCTCGCAGTGCAGGATCCTGGCTTGAGCAGTGCATAGCACTGAGGAAAAATGGTATTTCCTGGGCTTCGTAATGCCCAGGGCATCCCTTGATCGCCCCTTGACTCGGCCTAGCATGGTGAATTGTCACTGTGACCACATGGTCTCAGGCAGGTAGGCTCAGAACACATAGCTGTTCATCAGCCCAATGCCGGTGCGTAAGCATCCGATCCATACCTGGATTTGTGGAAAGGGAATTGTCCTGGACTTGAACGGTGATACTCCCCGGTACCTGTTCCTTAACTTTGTGTGAACCTGGGATGATCGCTTAAGCTCCCCTTACATCATGTGGGAAGTGTGAATGATACGGCTCCCATCAGAATGTTGTTGTGAGGACACAATGGGCTGAATGTTTGCGTCCCCTGAAACTCACGCTGAAGCCTAAATCCCCAGCATGATGGTGTTGGGAGGTGGGGCCTTTGAGAGGTGATGAGGTCATGAGGGGGGAGCCCCCCTGATGGGATTAGGGCCCTTCTAAGGGGATGAGGAGACCACATCTGTCTCTTCCCCTCTCTCTGCCATGTGTGGGCACAGTGAGAAGACAGCATCTATGAGTGCGGAGGGGGCTCTTCATCAGACACCAGATTGGCTGGCACCCTGATCCTGGACTTCCAGCCTCCAGAACGGTGAGAAACATGCTTGTTGTTCACACCCACCCCCATCCACAGTGTTCTGCAGCCCGAGCTGAGACAGACAGATGGTTAAGTGAGGTAACAGGTAAGAAAGTGCTCAGAACAGTGACCGGAACGTAGTAGCAATCGATACATAATCGTTGTTGTTACGACGAAAGTCTCATTAGCACGGAGACGGACTATAAATGTTTAAGAAGAGCTTCCCGCTCAGATTTTTAGTTATTTAATAATGCATTCAGTTGGAGTCCTCTGGCGCCAGAAGAAAACCAGTGCTGGGAAACGTCCAACAAGGCGGATGCACTCGGAACAGCAAACCACCTGCACTGGCTTCTCTGGAAAGCTTCACCCGTTACTTCTTTTCCAGCTTTCCCTCCCCAGGCAAGACAAGGCATCCCACCGCTTGGGAGGGGGTCCAGAAACCTTTGCATTTGCACACCTCCCAGAAGAGTGCCCCCTTCCCCTTCGGCGAGGAGCTTGGGTTCTGGAAAGCCCTCCACACCTGGCTACCAGGTGAGGGCTCAACCCTGACAGCATGATGCTCCCTGAAGCTCCAACAGTGTCTTTTTAATTTAGCAGAACTTTAAGAAACTAGAGGCTAATTTTCAGCTGAAGTGGAAGGAAACCACCACCCCCCCCCACCAGCATAGCAGGAGTGGGACCCCAGACCCCCACGTCTGCCCCACCCGGTGCGACTCACCTTCGTACAGCCAGTCACTGAGACCGTTGTAGATCACGCCTTCCTTCCCAGTAGACACCACACGAATGGCCTGCTTCCCAACGTGTGCGCAGTAGTAGATGTTGTTTTCAAAGATAAATATCTAATTGGGAAGAGAGAAAACACAGTGTTAACCAATGAAGTGGCTATAAATAGGGTACTCGTAAGAAGTCAGAAGTTGGGGATGTGGTTTGCATCTGCCTGGTGCATTTATCTGATAGGACAAAGGCAGCGTCAGGATCAGGTGGGGCTCACGCATGTATCGTGTGCATTTCTGGTTAATCAGAGACTCCAGACTTCACACAGTTCACCCTATGCCATCTTTTTCCACGCGTGAACAGTTTGTGGTCTGATACTTTAGGCACTTGCACGTCAAATGTGTTGACTATTTCAGCTATTGTATTTTTCCTAGCAATTAAGATGGGTGAGCTGAAAAACTGGCAATCTGGCATTTATTCATTCACTATTCATTAAAAATTATGTAGTGGCGCCTTTTCTGTGCCAATCACAGGAGGCAAGGTGATTAATGGGGTGGGACGCAGAATGGGCTTTTATTCTACTTAGAGTCTGGTAAAGAAGACAAACTTTACCAGGAAAATGTTCTGAGGGTGCAGGTGCAGCTCTGGGGACGTGTAACAGGAATCCCTAACTTAGGCCAAAGGATTCACTGAGAAAGTGATGGGCAAAACATTTTTTATCGCAGAAAAATACATCTAACACAAAACTTGCCACCATGACTGTGTTTCAGTGTCCGGTCCTGTGGCATTAAGTACTTTCACACTGCCGTGCCTCCATCGCCACCACCATTTCCAGAACTTTCCATCTTCCCATACTGAAACTCTGTCCCCATGAAACCCTAGTCCCCATCCCTCCCCAGCCCCCTGCACCCCGTTCCACTGTCTGTCTCCACTAATCTGGAGACTCTAGGCACCGCACATAAATGGAATCATACAATATCTGTCTTTCACTCAGCATAGAGTTCTCAAGGGCTACGGCAAGTGACAGGGTTTCGAGAAAGTGCTGCTCACGCTGAGGCCTCAGTGAAGACAGCACAGAGATGAGAAGCTGGTTACAGAGAAGAAACGGTGTGAAAGCAGAGACCAAGCGGGCACAGGGTATTGGTGGAGGTGGACAGAGGTCCTGCAGGCTGTCCTGTCAGGGGCATGGCGGCGGGGGGGGGGGGGGGGGGCCGGGGAAGGCAGGTGCCCCACCAGCAGCAGGAAGCCCTTGATGGTGGCCTGATAAGAGGAGCATCACAGTCAGATGAGAGTCTTCTGGCGACGAGAAGGAAGCGAGACCGTGAACGGGGGACCGTGTGGCTGGCCTGGCCATCCGAGGGTGCTGACAAGGGGACAGTGGGGGACACCAGCCAGGAGACAGCCGCTGACGGCATTGAGTGAACCAAGGTCTAGGCGAAGGGGTGACACGAAGCAAAGTTGTTCCTGACCCGCTGGGTGGTGGTGACCCAGTTGCGGAGAAGAGGATGATCTGGGTCCGTGGTTCCTGAATGCTGATGGCCCCCGAGAATGATCCAGAGAGCTCTTAGAAACCCCACTGCCTGGTCCATCAGCCCAGCCCACTACCAGTATCGAGGGCTGAGAGCCAGGCATCAGGATTTTTAGAAAACATCCCACTTGATTCCAACCTGTAGCCAAATTTACGATCTGTGACCCCAGAGAAACCTAAGGTCTTTTAAAGTAACGACTGGCAGACAAAGCATTTGCGCTCTCCGAGGTGCTGACCGGCTCTGCCCTGTGTTTCTGTAGGAATCCCCGTTTCTGTGCCCGCAAGGCTTTGGACACACTGGTAGCAACTGGCCAAGTGCCGACTTCTACATATGGACCAGGAACGGGACTCAGATCTGGTGCTTTTCTTTTCTTTGTTTTATTTTTTTCTTTTACAGATGGGGGAGGGGCAGAAAGAGAGGAAAAAATGAATCTAAAACAGGCTCCGTGCTCGGTGCAGAGCCTGATGTGGGCCTCAATGCCACAACCTTGGGATCATGACCTGAGCTGAAATCAATAGTTGGATGCTCAACCGACTGAGCCACCCAGGCCCAGGCTTTTAACGAAATTCTAGAAAAACATACTGTCAGTGTCATTTAAGAGACCACAGAGACAGGGTATTTTGCAGAGTACAGGAAACGGTGGAAATATTAATTTTTTTATTGAAAATGCAAAAAAAAGGCAATTTCCCCAGATGGTCCTCACTGACGGTAGATCTGAAAGGACCACCAAGTGTTAGTTTTCTGCTCTGGGCTCCTGGCGCTTAAAGCATTCACTTCATCCCGAAACGAGTTGGAAAACTTCCAGACACAAGTATACATCCTAATTTAACTTCAGTAGCTGTTCTTATGAGTTTGCCTAAGGGTAAGATGTATTACTAGATTTTAACTTCTTTTATGTATTCTAAGCCTATAATAAATTTTTGAATTAAATCAGACTGCAGCCAATTAATATTTTGGGTGAGTAAAATTTGCTGTGATAGATGTTAAAACTTTTATCACCTTGGTTTTACTTTTAATGGAAGGAAATGAAAAGAAACAAGTTGTACCTAAGAGTGCGTTTTGCTTGGGAGACGTTTTACCTTTTCCTTCAGATGTTCCAGTGGAGCTCGGCTCAGAGGCGAGGGACGCGGTGTGGCTCTGTGAATGGTGGCACGGGGAGGGTAGGTGTTGGGGAGAGTGGCTGAGTTCTCCACTCTCCATGTTCTGTTCAGCACCCCGGCCATCACCTCGGGTCCTGATGCCCACGGGAGCACCTCACCTTCCTGGCCTGCGACCCCCACAGTCCCTGGCCTGGCCCCCGTGGTGCGAACACAGCCACTCCCCTCCTGCCGGGGGGTTTCTCACAACCTAGCCTGAGGTGGGTGGTGCCTCCCTGGCACATCCACTGGGAACAGGTGTTCCTGCTCCTGTCACCCCCTCCCCAAGTTCACCTCCTACTTGGCCGTCCTGATCAGTCTTTCCCAAAACACCACCTTTATCATGGCATTCTGTTACACAAAACCTGAAATGGCCTTCTGTTAACTATGGAATAGAGTTGAGGCGTCTGGTCTGGGGTTCAAGACCCGACTGTCTCCCTTGGCCTCTCTCCCCTGCAGGATTTATGGTGGTCCGACAACATGCAGGGGAGCGAGGGTGAGAGGCAGTCCATGGGGGCTCCCGTTTGCAGGCGGGAGTCCAGATTCTACAGCGCTCAGTCTGCTCCAGGCCCCACGAGGGCGTCCAGAGCACGGGCTGTGGGAGCAGAGGATGTGCTACGTGACCTGGGCCCATTGCTGGCTTCCGTGTGCCTCAGTTTCTCCTGTCACTAGAGACGGTAACAACCTAGTCTCAGGTGGACAAGAAGAGTGAGTTGGCAAATTCAAAGCAATGCCCGGCACAAAGGATGGGCTCGCTAGCACATCTGCTACTGCTGTTGTATCATGTTGTTGTGCGATGATGACCACCGTCATCATTATAAAAACCCATTCTGTCTGGGGGGATTAGGAGAGGCTTCACGGGGGAGGTGACATCTGAGCTAGACCCTCAAGGATAAATGCTTTTAATTTTGATCAAGTCCAATTTACCTATTTTTTTTCTCTCATAGCTTGTGCTTTTTGTGCTCCACCTAAGAATCCTTTGCCAAAACCAAGGTCATGAGCATTGACCCCCATGTTTTCTTCTAAGGTTTTATAGTTTTTGCTCTTAGTTTCGGGTCTATGATCCATTTTGAATTGTCTTTTGCATATGTTGGCCATGCATTTTCAAATGCTTTATAAACATTAATTCAGTTGAAAAAATAATGCTATAGACAGGCATGAGCCTTGTTTTGAGGATGCAAACACGAGCACGGGGAGGGTAACTTGACCAATGTCTTGTTGGCCAGGGGTCAGCAGGGGTTCAAACCAGGTGGTGTGGGGGTCGCGAAACGCCATGCCCAAGGTCACCAGGGAATCCGAGGAGGAGTCGGGATTGGAACCCAAGCAGGTCTGTGCTCTCAGCAGCTACAGCACACTGCCTCTTTATAGCGACTTGTTAAATAAACAAAAGGTGTGATTTCTAACCAGAAATGAACCAGAGACCACGGGTACCTGTCTGAGCCACAGCGTCTCCTCACTCTCCCTCCGGCCACTTCTTCAGGCAGAAGAACATGACTGGATGGCATACAGGTCACAGTGTCACTGTCACCAGGATTTTGCCAGCAGATACAGAAGCCATCACAGGGTGTTCCCTCACCTGGGTTTATTCAGGGGAGCCTGGGTCTAGTGCTGCATGACCCAGTGGGCCACGCCAGACTCAAGGCCCTGCTGGCTCCTAAATCCTATCAGCCAAGGCTCTAGAATCGGTTCCAGTGAAGGGGCCGCCCACCTCTATAGCCTTCCCCGCTGTGGACACCTGGTTGGCGGCCGGGTCTGTGCACATTCTGTACCCCACAGCTGCTCCAGGACCAGTGAAAAGGCTCGAGTTTAGTCCGTGAAAAGGCTGCTGAGCCAGCAAAGCCCGCCCTCACCACCGCAGCCCTGCAATCCCAGGCACGGAACTCTGCCCTTGAGTCTTTCTTCCAGAAAGTGTTAGAAAATATCCTCCAAAGTGGCGCGCCTGGGTGGCTCCGTCGGTTAAGCGTCCGACTTCAGCTCAGGTCATGATCTCACAGTCCGTGGGTTCAAGCCCCACGTCGGGCTCTGTGCTGACAGCTCGGAGCCTGGAGCCTGCTTTGGATCCTGTGTCTCCCTCTCTCTCTGCCCTCTGCTCTGCTCACACTCTGTCTCTGTCTCTCAAAAAGTGAATAAACGTTAAACAAAATTTTAGAAAATATCTCCCAAAGTAAGGAGATGTACACAAAGCACAGGACGGTGACAAAGCGTGTTCTGTGGTCCTTACGTGGTGGTTTCCAAGCACCACAAGTGGCCGCCGGGGACACAGGGTTTTCTGGTGGGACAGAAGACAGTCCCCACGTCCTGCACACTGGTGATCCTGATGCCCTCCTCAATACCTTCTCTGTCCTCACCTGGAGCTGTTTCCTCTGCTGTCTGCCCAAGTCCCGGTCACCCTGGGAGGCTCTGCTGGGCTCCGTCCTCCCAGAAGCCCCTGCGTCGCTGTCCTCACTGTCCTGCCTCTGC